TTATTCAATTAAATTGGGGCTCAAAAGACCTGCTTCAAGCCACAACTAAGCACCAGGGGCTAGAGAGATGGCTCAGTGGTAAAGAGCCCTTGCTGCTCTTGGAGATGACCAGAATTCAGTTTCTAGCATCCATGTTGGGCAGCTCACAATGGCTTGTAACTCCAGCTCCAGGGTGATCAATGCCCTCTTCTGGCCTCTGCAGGCACCTGCACACTCTGATGTGTACACACACACACTTCAGTTTTTTTTTTCAGAGCTGAGGACCAAACGCTAAATCTCCAATCCCTCAATTTTTTTTTTTTTTTTTTTTTTTTGGTTTTTCGAGACAGGGTTTCTCTGTGTAGCTTTGCGCCTCCCTGGAACTCACTTGGTAGCCCAGGCTGGCCTCGAACTTACAGAGATTCGCCTGGCTCTGCCTCCCAAGTGCTGGGATTAAAGGCGTGCGCCACCACCGCCCAGCTATATATATATATATATATATATATATATATATATATATATATATATATATATATATATATATATTTTTTTTTTATTTATTTTATTTTTTTTTAACTAATAACACCAGCACAAGAACCCAGGTTTTCTGATTCCCTGGTCTGATGTGTTCTCCACTCTTAACATTCTCCCCTTCTAAGCCCAGGAAAGTTTACAGGAGGTTGGAAAAATGTCAAGTTAGTGGAACATAAAGATACATAACTAATCCCAGCACTCAAGAATTGGAGGCTAGCCTGGACTACACAGTAAGACTTTACTAAAAATGAAACTTATACCAAGTTGAAATCTTATACCATTAAAAAACAATAATAACACTGTTATATGTCACAACCAAAGAGAGTTGATAACAAATATGCTGAAAACATTAACTGTAAGAGAAATGTCACTACACAGTCAATAGTACAGACTCAAAATGAAAACCTTCCAAATATTTTGTCCCCATTTAACTCTAAAACAACCAATCAAAAACAAAGCAGAGGGAAAAAAACAGAAACAAAAACAAAACAACAAACCCAGGAAGAGATCATACTCAGTTCTCATTTCCCTCAATGGCATTCAGTGTTCTGGTAAAGCCAGGACCTACTGGCCACCACATCCTGCTTCTCTAAACCCAAAGGTCCACGTCAGCTGGCCCAATCTTTTATTGTGGGGAGTGTGAGGGGAAATGATGCTGGTATACTGTATCAGGAGGCCAAGTCAACCTCAGGTGTCATTCCTCAGAATCTGTCCTGTTTTTAAGAGACAGGTCTCTAACTGGGAACCAGAGCTCACCTGATTCAGCTAGACTGGCTGGCTAGCAAGCCCACGGTACCTGTCTTGTCTCCCCAGGGCTCAGATTACAGGGCATGCAGTGTCCTGCACAGCTTTGTATGTGGTGTTAAGGATCCAAAACAGGTCCTCGTGCTTGACTGGCAAGCACTTTACCAATTGAGCCATCTTCCCAGCTCAGCAGCCTCAATCTTTTGTAGTCACCTCATACCCTGAAGTACCTACTGCTTCTTTAAGAATAGCATCCATTTGTTACAGCAAGAAAGGATGGGCTGGACTGTTCATTCTATGTCCCTCAGAAGGAATGACAGAAAACAAACAGAAAGATCACTATTCACTGTCCACAATATATCTTGATATATTTGAAAACCTTTTTCTATTATTCATTCATTCCTCAACCTCTTCCTATAGCTACCACATCCCAGATTTGCTATGAACTTCATGATAGCGTTCCTTATGGTATCCTTGTTGCTAATGCTATTTTTGACATTGGAGAGCATACAAAAATAAGTAAGCCTGACCATAAGGCAGCTAACAAAACAAACACAAATTGCTAAACATACAGCAATCCAAGTACTACATAAATACATGCATAAGGGCCTATGGTAGTAAATAGAATTAGGATCAGTGGAAGAAGCGTCAGGAAGAATTCAGTCATAAATGATGAATGGGATTCAGTCAGGCATAAGAAGACAACATGAGGCAAAAAAACCAAAGGCACAGCAAAGCACATTGTGACAGAAAAGTCTCATTTCTTCAGAACAGCCAGCTGATAGGGAATGAGAGACAACAAGGCTGGAAAAGGGACTTGGAGGCAGAGACTACAAAAGTCCTCTTATATACTGCTAAAGAAAGTGGCCTTTACTGCATAGGCAATTCAGAGTATCATGCAGTTTTTAAAAGCAAGGTCATTACACAATCAAGTTTAGATAGACATGGAGATTGTCAGCAAAACAGATCAGAGAGGCATGGTACCAAGCTAGGCAGGAACTGGAGAGGGCCTGAGAGCAGGAGCTGGGTAGAGGACAGTTGAGTAGCAACACAGTGCTAAGACTAAGAGATGAATCAAGGATAACTGACGTTTCTTGTGGTACGAACGGTAAGAGAAATGGCAATGGTCGGCTATGTTAAAAAGCAAAGGAGAAAGGGCTGTTGAAATCGCTTTTCCCAGAAGGAGAGAAAGGCCTAAAGTTTCAGTTCTAAAAATAATTGTTCACCGGGCATGGTGGCACACGCCTTTAATCCCAGCACTCTGGAGGCGGAGGCAGAGGCAGGAGGATCTCTGTGGGTTCGAGGCCAGCCTCATCTGTTACAGAGCAAGTTCCAGGACAGCCAGAGCTGTTACACAGAGAAACCCTATCTCAAACAACAAAAAAAAATAATAAATAAAAATAAAAAATAATTTTTCAGGGTTTCTTCTTGTGTTTTGTTTTGTTTTGGCTGTTGGTTGGTTTGCTTTGCTTTGCTGAGGTAGGGTCTTAGAACAGAGTCCAGCTAAGTGCTGGGATGACAAGTGTGTGCCACTATGCCCAGATTATTTTGTTTTTGTTTTTGTTTTGTTTTGTTTTTAGAGACAGGGTTTCTCTGTGTAGCTTTGGAGCCTGTCCTGGAACTCACTGTGTAGACCAGGCTGCCCTTGAACTCACAGAGATCCGCCTGGCTCTGCCTCCCTAGTGCTGGGATTAAAGGCATACACCACCACTGCCCAGCGATTATTTTGTTTTTAAAGGGAATACCCAGTTAAGCTCCAGAAAAGGTCTACGAATTGTTAAGAGCAGTCTTCAAAAAGCATATGACTGACCATTGACAATATAAGAGCTGGCTTTGGTGATAAATTTCCAGAAGTTATTTCACAGCCAGAACAGCAAAGACAGAATCTCCGTTTGTCTCTAAACTAAAGTCAGCCTGGAAGGGATAGAAAAATAGAAGAAGAAAAAAGACAGTAACACATTTGAAATTAGAATTCAAATAGTTTTATGTATTCACAAGTCAGGAGATATGTTAAAGGATGGGTTCTTCGATTACGACACCCAAGTGCCACAGATCCATGAAATACAGCAAAAGTCAGGTAGAAAATTCCAATTCCAATGACAGGTACAAGGGAATTGAAACAGTAAAGGCCAGGCCACAAACTAAAGAAATGGACAACTCGACCAGACTGAGAGAGCAGCAACAGCCCTATTCATAAATTAGAGTACAAATACCCACTCCTCTCCAGAAGGTCACAAGGGCGGTGGGGCAGATTCACAAAGCAATAACTAGTTCCCCAAAGGAAAACACACCACAAACTAAATTCATAAAGCAAAGGAGAGGCAGAATCTTATTTGGAACACTAGCCAATTAGCCTGGATTTCAAATATTTCATCCTTTTGTGAACCACGGGTCTCAGTTTTGTTTAAAGGATGGGAAACTAGAGATATAAGGCAAAACCCCATCATTTGTAAGGAAGGAGTAGGTAGCCCAGACTAGCCTCAAACTCAAGGTCCTCCTACTTAAGTCTCCCAAATGTTGAGAACTAAAACCATATATCATGCAAAGTGGCAAAAAGTTTGAAACTACCAGATGCCTCAACTTTCCAATACGTGGTATAAATCACTAACTTCATTAGGCTTCAATGTCCTCGCTTCTAAAACCAGAATGCTGCCTATGGGCCGCTTATGGAATAAACAATGGCAGGCACTTTGTGAACCAAGAGTCCAGTGCCAAACGCAGAGAAATTATTTTTAAGCATGACAGTAGCGACTTCCATTTTACTCCCCAAACAAACAAAAACATCATTAGGTTAAATGTCCAGTTCCTCGAAAAGAGTCCAACAAAGCTTGCTCGGATCTCAATGAGCCCCTCCAAAAGCCCCCAGGCCTTATGTTCCCTGAATCATCACCTGTTCAGGTGAGGGGTTGGAAGGCTACCAAGGCAAACACAAACGTCGGGAGCAGAATACAATGACTCGCCCAAGGTCAAAAACATTACAGTGTAGACAAGTCAGGCTTGCCAGCAGCAGAGGCTACTTCTCGAGTGCTGCCCCTTCTGGAGCCTCCGGGAGCGACGTGGGGGCACCGGTCTGCAAAGAGCTCCCGGCCTCCAGCAGCAGGCCCACACCTGACCATTGCGGGCGCGGCCAGCTCCTCCATCCACCCTCAGCTCGGGCCCCACCCCCGAGGCCGAGACCCCTGCGCGGGGCCCCACAAGGTGAAGTTTGCTCGCACCCCACGCCAAGTCCACGGTCTCACGCACTATGGTGGCCCGGCCCAGGACCCCGCCGCCGACACCATCCGGCCGGTGCCCCTGGACGTCCAGCCTTTCCCCGACCAGCAAGCCCCTCCTTCGGCCCAGACTGCGAGCAGAGACGACTGCAGACTTCCTCCGCGAGCTCCGCCCCTTGGCTGCCAAGATGCACCCTCCGCCGGAGACGACGGACGGACCCCTGAACCAGTCAAAACTCGGAACTGGAGGGGCACGCGGACAGACGGCTCCTAGAGCCAATCCGTACGCGAGGCGGGAGAGGGCGTGGCTCAAGGAACTGGGCCACGCCCCATCGGTGCTTCCGCTGGCGCGGGGGAGGCGAAGGAAACTTTCCCAGAGTTCCTTCGAGCTCTCTGGGTTCCCGTGGGGGCTGAGGCGGCAGCAGCGGGCGGGGAGGGGGCTGGGGTCGGCTGCGGATTGGGTGAGGAGCGGGCGGAGCACGGGGACACTGTCCCACCTCCGAGAGGTCCCAGAAACCCTGCTGTTGGGAGCCTGGGCAGCCCAAGGATGCTGCTGTGCAGCCCGGCAGACATCCCCACAGCACACGTGAGCCCGGTAGGCTCCAGGGTGGTAGGCAGCGTGCGCTCGGCTGTGCAGAGCCGGCCTCGCTGCCTCTTGCAGCTACCACCGGAGCAGCCCAAGACCCCGGCTCTGCAGCCCGGCAGACACCTCCATAGGCTGTACGGTGGAGAGCCGTACGGGGCGAGGTCAGGCTGCTAAGCCCCTCTATTCCACTTCAGGGCTTTGCGGTACAGCGGCGCAATGCATTCTGTTAGGTCTTTCGTCGGCAGATGACTCGGGTGCAGAGGACAGCTCCAGGATGTCAGGTGCATACCTTTACCCTAAACTGCACGGGCTCCGAGAACCCAAGGCCCCACCCTGACGACTTCGCATGTTTGGAGCGCGGTTACCAGGAATGACCTATGAGCGTGCTTTGTTGTCGGTCCGGTCGCCTGAGGAGACACCATTTCACATTGGGAATTGTGACTTTGAAACCAGGGCTGGAGGCAGAAAAAAGTCGCTAGCAAACAGAATCCCGCTGAGGGGCGGGGCGTCCAGGAGAACGGTCACGTGGAGGAAGCGGAAGCCCTCACCATCTCTCACCTTCGCCCAACCTATCTTTGCACTAGTCTGTTTAGGAGGACTGGAGCTCCGTCTTCCTCCTACTTTTGTCACGCCTGGTCCCGGATGATGGCTCCGCCTGGGGATCCCCGGCGCCTCTGCAGGCTGGTGCAGGAGGGCCGGCTGCGCGCTCTGAAAGAGGAGCTGGAGGTGGCCGGAGGTTGCCAGGGGCCAGCCGGGGACACCCTTCTCCACTGTGCGGCCCGCCACGGGCGCCTGGACATCCTAGCTTATCTAGTGGAGGCTTGGAGTATGGACATCGAGGCTGCCAACCGAGACTACAAACGGCCTCTGCACGAAGCTGCCTCTATGGGCCACCGGGACTGCGTGTGCTACCTCTTGGACCGAGGTGCAGCCGTGGACTCCTTGAAGAAGGCCGACTGGTAGGTGCCCGGAGTCCAGAAAAGCTACATCGCCACTCTCCGAGGAATCGCAAATTTCCGTGTATTTTTCAGTGTGTCCGTTAAACGTATAACTTTCCTGGGTTTCTAATTCTCACCCCAACCTTCCTTTCTTCCTGGGTTTGGCTCTTTAGTTAGAACAATTACTTCGCGTTGAGAGAGTATAGAAATATAATCAAATGGTTAACGGATGAATTGTATTACTCATGTGCCCAGGATGTGTTCTTCCGGAGACATCTTGCTAAAGTACTTGTTCACGGTTGTATTATTTTAATTGACAAGGCTGCAGTGGATATGTTTCAGTGGCACATGCATTGCATGTTGAGCTCTATGCAGTTTTGTCACATCAAGCGTTGCACGGCCACCAGCAAGAATGTTGGTGATACTCTTCCACCACACAAACCACTTTCATTTGCTGCTAGATTGGCATCTTTTTTGTACTATGTCTGAGAGCCTGTTAACTTTTTTGGGCTTCTAACTTAATGAAGTTCCTGCCTTCCAAGTTATTTCAAATCTGTCAAAACATAAGGGCTGGGAAATACATCAGAGGTGGTGCAGCCTCCTGGCGTGCATGAGCCCCTGAGTTTGATCTCAGCTCCTCAAGGACAGGAAAGCACCATATAATTAAAAGTGCATCTCCTTCGCTATTGTAAAGTAGTTCCACTATATCTTGAGGGTTATCTGTGGTTTATATCAGTCCTCTGCTTGGCTCATAAACAGTTTTTGCCTCTCAGATAACCTAGTCCTGTGGATGCGCATTCAGAATCAGTGTCTCCTTGTTATTTCTCCACAGACCTCAGAGAAGTCAGAGGCTGACAGTCTAAGCTGTTTTCCTGCCTCCCCACCCCACCCCCCAGACTCCTCTAGGTTTTCCGACTATACCAAAGACATACATTCCCTGAAGGCCTGGATTCTTCCAAATGCCTCAGCTCCTTTCCATCCTGGTTGACCTTAGGACTCCTCTGATGATGGCTTGTACAAGGAAGAACCTTGAAGTGATCCGGGTCCTTGTGGAACACGGTGCCAATCCGCTCCTGAAGAACAAGGATGGCTGGAACAGTTTCCACATTGCCAGTCGAGAAGGCGACCCTGTGGTCCTCCGGTACTTGCTCACTGTCTGCCCGGATGCTTGGAAAACAGAGAGCAAAATTAGAAGAACTCCTTTACACACTGCAGGTATACCCTGCAGTCGCCTCCTGTCTGTAGTTGGTTTCACCCCAGTGCTGCCTACACTTTGTAGTTCAAGTCATCTGCCAGGGGAATGGAGGATTTGGGAAACCAGAGGGCAAGCATCAGAGCATCTTGGGATTTCTTGGCAGACTATAAGTTTGTGAAGTGATGGAGCCCTCGGCTCTGTGTCACTGTGTTAGTCCACCTTTCGAGTGTATCTGTCGTAATTTCCCTTCCTGGTCAGTTAGATGGTAAGCTAGCTCTGTCCCTGCCAAAGTCTGTGACCCTGGTTAAAGAACTTGATTTGTGTTTGAGCAAATGTCCTTCTTAGCTTTTCACAATGGTGATGATACCATGCTGTAGTCTTGGCAAAAAGCAAAATTAGTGTGGAATGTGTAGATAATGGGCTCAAAAGTCTAAAATAAAGTTGGAAAATAAGCCAGGCAGCGTGGCACATGCCTCTGGTTCTAGCCCTCAGGAGGTTGAGGCAACAGGATCCAGAGAGAGAAATTTGGAAGATAATTCTTAGTCTAAGAGGCAGTTCATTGAATTAGGATACTGAGCTGGTACTATCTCTAAAGATCAATATCTGAGATATGATGCAGTCCCTACTGTCTGGGAACAAGCACCTGCTTGTTCTCCAGCCATAGCTGGCACTTGTGGACCAAGGGATCCTTTCTGAAACTTTTTGAGTAAGTAGGAAAAGTCCACCTAGTTCATAAAATGCTTGGCTAGCTCCCATCATATGCACTCCCCCAAAATATTCCCTTGGAGAAACAGTCACTAATCTGTCACTCACCCAAAATAAATGGAGGCCAGATAGTCAGAACCTTTTCTGTTGAGAATAGGTATCTTAAGTAGAAGGAGTAAATTTCTGGATAATTTTTATAGATTACTATTAAATAGGTTACCTTCAAAATGTTTTTGCAGTTTTCTGGCAAGAGACTACACCAGCCTTTGAAACTTCCAGCACTAAAGTGGGGAGATAAGTTTAAAATTGCAAGTTTGCCATGAAAGTGCTCAAAACATCATTCTTTATCAGTTATTTGGTCGGATTTTTTTTCCTTGTTTGTTTGGATAGGACAGTAACATTACCTATTGTAGGTTTTCCTTCTGTGAGAAGACCAGGGCAGATGTGACTGAAGAGATGGCTCAACAGTTAAGAACACTTACTGTTCTTCCAAAGGACCTGGGTTCAGTTCCCAGCACCCACATGGTGGCTCACAACAGTCTCTAACTCTTGATCCCAATTTTCAAGGGATCCGTCACCCTCTTTTGACATCTGTGGGCATAATTCATACGTGCGGTACACATACAAACATTGGCATAATTCATACGTGCGGTACACATGCAAACATGCAAGCAAAACAGTTATACACGGAAAATTGAATAAATAAATATAGAGCAAAATTTTTTTAAAGCCAGGAGAAAGAATTTTGCTTGTTTTTTTGTTTTTGTTTTTAATTTAATTTATTTATTTTGGGTTTTTGAGACAGGGTTTCTCTGTGTAACAGCTCTGGCTGTCTTGTCTTGGAACTCATTCTGTAGACCAGGCTGGCCTCGAACTCGAAGAGATCTGCCTGCCCCTGACTCCCAAGTGCTGGGATCAGAGGCGTGCGCCACCACCAACGGCTTGTTTTTAATTATTTATTCATTGTACTGGGATAAAACCAAGGATTTTGCGCATCCTAGGCCAGGGTTTGGCCAATGAGTTACCTCCCCAGCTGTCTTAGTTAGAGTTTCTATTGCTCTGAAGACACACCATTATCACGGCAATTCTTATAAAGGAAAAACATTTAATTGAAGTGGCGGCTTACAGTTTCAGAGGTTTAGTCCATTATCATCATGGCAAGACAAGGCGGTTTGCAGGCAGACGTGGTGCTGGCTACATCTTGATCAGAAGGCAACAGGAAATGGTCTATGACACTGGGAGTTGCTTCTTGAGTATAGAGGAACTCAAAACCCACCCCCACAGTGACTGATGCACTTTCTTCAACAAGGTCACACCTCCTAATAGTGCCACTCCCTTTGGGGGCCATTCAAACCACCACACCAGCCAAGAAAGTTTCAAGTATACACTAAAAAGTTCTAATTGTCTCCATTCTTTTCTCCCCGCAGCGATGCATGGCTGTTTCGAAGCAGTACAAGAGCTTCTTGATAGGTAAGAGTAGCATGGTAAATTGGTGAAAATATTTCTTAGTTATAACAAGAAGTTAGTTTTCCTTTTATGTAGAGAGCTCAGTGTCCACAACAGAACAGGGCCGTGTACCAATGAGCATTGCAAGGAATTCAGAGTCCCCATAGGAGTGTGTGATAGGAAGACCCAGTGTAAATTAGTAAAGACTGAAGAAATAATGTTTCGGCACCAGCACAGCCAAAGCTGTTCACCTGAAGGGAAAATAACAGTTGTGCGTGAAGGCCAAGGGGATTTTTTGCACCAAGAGAAAGGATAGCACATTTGAGAGACTGGTAATAGTTAGGGATATGTTGAAGTCTAAACAGTATAGAATATGGATGCTATAGACCATTGTGTTCACTTTATGTATCTGAATGTTTTGCTTGCATGCATGTCTCTACACCATATGCATGCCTGGTGCCTGTGGCAGCCAGAAGATGGTGTCAGAGGGAATCAAACCCAGGTCCTCCGGAAGAGCAACAAATACTCTTCACTGTTGAACTTTCCCTATGGGCCCCTTGGTGAAGGGTTTTGAAGCCAGGGGTCATAAGAAATCAGCAGTTTTCAAACACCACCTAGTTGCAAAATATAAATGAACCTGGGATGGGAAGAGGTTTCTGTGAAATTGTCCCTTAGGTTGAGGAAGTGAAACAGGAGAGAAATGATGGTAGTTGGGCTGAAGAGATGAGTCTAGAAAGTGTGGTGGTTTAAATAAGAATGCCCCTTATATTTAAATATTAGTCACCAGGGAGTGCAGAGTAGAAGTATTAGGGGGTGTGGCCTTGTTGGAGGGAGTGTGTCCCTGGGGGTGGGCTTTGAGGAGTCAAAAGCCGATGCCAGGCCTAGGCTCTCTCTACCTAGGGATCAGGATGTAACTCTCAGCTACCGTTCCAGTCCCTGCCTGAGCATGCCACCATGCTCCTACCATGATGATGGTAAACTAAACATCTGAAACTGTAAGCAGGCCCTCAATTGAATGATTTCTTTCATAAAGAGTTGTCTTGCCGGGCGGTGGTGGCGCACGCCTTTAATCCCAGCACTCGGGAGGCAGAGCCAGGTGGATCTCTGTGAGTTCGAGGCCAGCCTGGGCTACCAAGCAAGTCCCAGGAAAGGCGCAAAGCTACACAGAGAAACCCTGTCTCGAAAAACGGAAAAAAAAAAAAAAAAGAGTTGTCTTTACGGCAATAGAACAGTGACTAAGGCAAGAAGGAAGAGGCGGATTGAAGGGTATCTTTAAAAAGTCGAATCAGCCGGGCGGTGGTGGCGCACGCCTTTAATCCCAGCACTCGGGAGGCAGAGCCAGGCGAATCTCTGTGAGTTCGAGGCCAGCCTGGACTACCAAGTGAGTTCCAGGAAAGGCGCAAAGCTACACAGAGAAACCCTGTCTCGAAAAACCAAAAAAAAAAAAAAAAAAAAGTCGAATCAATAGGAATAGGCGCATAATTTGATGAAAAGGGTCTGAGAGGGCCTGGGAATGTAGCTCAGAGGTAGAATGCTTGCCTAGCATATTCAAGGCCTTAAAATAAAGGAGGAGCAAGGGAACATCAAGGATGCCTTTCACAGTGTGGTATCTGTGCCACTCGCTAAGACATTGAACCCTGAAAGAGGAGCAGGGTTAGGGGAGGCATAAGAATTTCACCTTGGAGCTGGGCAGTGGTGGCGCACGCCTTTAATCCCAGCATTCAGGAGGCAGAGGCAGGCAGATCTTTGTGAGTTCGAGGCCAGCCTGGTCTACAGAGCGAGATTCAGGAAAGGCGCAAAGCTACACAGAGAAACCCTGTCTCGAAAAACCAAAAAAAAAAAAAAAAAAAAAGTTAACAATCAAAATTATTGGGGCTGGAGAGATGGCTCAGAGGTTAAGATCACTGACTACTCTTCCAGGGGTCCTGATTCCCAGCAACCACATGGTGGCTCATAACCATCTGTAATGAGATCTGGTGCCCTCTTCTGGCCTGCAGGCATACATGCAGACAGAACACTATACATAAGAAATAAATCTTGGGGCTGGAGAGATGGCTCAGTGGTTAAGAGCACTGACTGCTCTTCCAGAGGACCTGGGTTCAATTCCCAGCACCCACATGGCAGTTAAAACTGTCTGTAACTCCAAGATCTGACGCCCTCACACAGACATATATGCAAGCAAGACACCAATGCACATTAAATAAATAAATACATTAATTAATTAATTAAAGACTGTTGTTGATTGGTCTTTGGTCTTTAAAAAGAAATAAATCTTTAAATTAAAAAAAAAAAAAAGAATTTCACCTTGGAACAAGTGGGGTATATGTGTGAGAGATCAAAGCAGAGTTCAAGAAGGCAGAGACAAGGTGGACCAGAAACCAATGTAAGGCTTTGCAACATACGAATGGTGATGAGAAGTGAGAAGTGGAAAAGATAATGGGTCAAAGCAAAGAGCATTGAACCCTGGATCCTAAAAACATTTGTCAAGCACTTAGAACCACAGATGGGACATATTTGCTTTTCTGCAAATTTGTAAATACTCTTCACTGAAGAAATACTTTTCAGTAGCCTCTGTGTGTTAGGTCTGGGTAATGAAATAAACAAAGCTCTTCGATAGTGGCCTTCATAGGGTAATGAAGAAGACAGTGTGTATAAATAATTCCATGGAACCCTAGAATTAAAAACTTATATGCTGTGGCACACATCTGTAATTCCAGCCCTCCAGAGACTGAGGCAGGAGAAGCAAGATGGCTGTGGTTGCTCTGGAGAATCGGGGCAGGGGAAGGGGAGGGAAGGGTCATGATAAGAAGAGCATTCGGAGGCTCTTGTCAGTCACCCTACATGTGCATAGGGGTGAAAGTGGAGATGGAGAGGAGGATATGGATGTTTTAAGTAGCCTGGCTGCAGAATTATATTTAGGTAATTGTTTGGGAAAGAGAGGAAAAAGATAGTAAGGGTGACTACAAAGCTTCCAAGCTGAGAAACTGAAGAAATGAAAGCTCCAGCTGATGTGATGAGAAAGTTAAAAGAGGAAGGTCCTGAAGACATGGAACTCGGTTCAGATGCTAAAACGATAAAAGAAAGACAGCTCCAGACTGTCACAGGTCATCTGTAAGGCATACAGCCTCCCTGCAGATCATTGAGTCATCTACCTGTCTTGGGTTTGAAATGGTGAATATTCACAGTTCTGTCATGTTTGGATTTGACTCTAGGTGTCACTATGAACCAGACTGTAGAGATAACTGTGGTGTCACGCCCTTCATGGATGCAATTCAGTGTGGCCATGTTAACATAGCCAAGCTGCTCCTTGAAAAACACAAGGTATAAATAAAGTGATTTTGCTTTTTCCCTTACTTCTTTCTTAGAAATTTTAGATATGGGGATAATGATACATCATTATTCATTTGCTGGTTTCAAATCCTGGATCCTGAGTTTCTCCACCTTTGACCTCTGTAAACATACATGCATTAGCATTCTTATCTCTAAAATTGTGACAAAATGTAATTTCTTCGGAAGGTTCCTTACAAGGATTTAATGATGCTAGGGTTGGAGCTCAAAGTAAAGTAGCATGCTCAGAACCTTGGACTTGATCCAGGGAGGATCCAATAATCCAACATACATAGAGCAGTTAGAAAATTAGGGATTCACTAAACATTGTCACTTTGAAAGTAGTAGCAACAAATTGTCCTGACAGAGCTTAAGGCACCATAGCCAGAGCATTGACTTGACCACGTTTTAGTTCAAATGCTTTGAAAATCGGGAAGAAATCATGTACTCTGCCCAGAAGAACTGCACAGACAGTTAAGCTACACCAGAACATCTGCAGGACTATGGACCAGATTCCTCTGCTTTTTACACTGCTCCTCTTTCCTGCCTACTAGGCTTGCTCTTCAGCTGAAGATAGCCTGGGGGCCCAGGCTCTACACCGGGCAGCAGTCACTGGGCAGGATGAAGCCATACGATTCCTGGTGTCCAGTCTTGGCATTGATGTAGATGTGAGAGCAAAGTCAACCCAGCTAACAGCACTTCATTATGCAGCCAAGGTCAGTTGCTTCTTATGACAGCATTTCTTCCTGAGGCTTGCTGCTCTGGGGATGGACAGCTCTTGTAGTCTTGGCATCTTTGGCTCTCTCTGTACCTTCTATTCCTGAGATGTTTATGATTCTAAATCTTTCAGTCTCTTTAAATGGAAACATGACATTTTTGGTGTCAAGGCAAAAATGGAGAGAGGAGAACTCTTACTTCTATGTACTACTTGGGCTTTCTGTACTCTTATTTTCAGGAATGTTATTGAAAACCGTGGGGCTTTCTGTACTCTTATTTTCAGGAATGTTATTGAAAACCGTGACGATGTTGGAGGGTAATGAAGGCCTTGTCAGTTGTCTCTTAAGTGTTTGAAAGCAAACTGTGGAACTCCACTTTGGTATAGCAAAGTTAAATATTTTCTATTAAAAATAAAAAAATAGCGGGCTGGAGAGAGAGAGCTCAGTGTTACGTGTGCTTGCTGCTCTTGCAGAGTTCCAGAACCTACATCAGGCAGCTCACAACTGCCTGTAACTCCAGCTCCAGGGGATCTGACATCCTCTTCTGGCCTTAACAGGCACCTTCGTACGTGTGTTCATACACACACACACACACACACACACACACACACACACACACACACACCACAAATAAAGTAACTAGCTAAAAATTAACAAATGAGCAAAGATTCATTCTATGAAATTTGTAGCTCTTTTTTATATTGAATTGAGAATTTAAAATCTCTTTAACTAGCACAAAGAAATTGCATCTATTGGTCTCTCCAATGTACAAAACATTAAAGATGTGCATAAATATTTCACTAAAGAAAAGGCTATTTTAGGAGCCTTGCTTATTATACATTGTTTAGAAGCCAAGTGCCTTTATTTGGTTTCCTAGAAGCATGAGTACATGTTTTCTGACCAAAAATCCCCACTGCACTTCCCCTGAATACAAGGGATAGGTACATGAATGGACTGAGGGCTCAGTCCATGAACATTTCCTCCGTAGAAAGGCTGAATCTGAAATCTTGATTTTTTTTTTTTTTTTTTTAGCCTCACTAGTTTGTAATGAGCTGACTGGCTAGACATGTGTGTATAAATTACTGCGTGAATGATGCTAGCTATAGTAGTGGTCTCTTCTGAGAGCCTCAATTCCCCTCTGCCTTAAAGATTTTAACCAAGAGTTCATATGCTTGTGAAATTTTGGAATTGTGAGTTCTATATAAACCACAAGGCTTTGTACCGCTGACCTTGATGGAAACCTAATCACATTATCCATCCTGATAACTGAATGTTACAAATATTTAACGATTCGTGTGAGAATCATGGATGATATAACTCTTCCTTAAGCCAGGAAGATTCCATATTTGCAGTTGGCTGCCTCAGGAAGAGTTTCTGATGAGCACTAGAGATGGTTTTTAAAGGTTTGCTTTTGTCCTCATCACAGCGGTAATGCTTCTATTTCAACACTCAGGAAGGACAGACGAGCACAGTTCAAACTCTGTTATCCCTGGGTGCCGACATCAACTCTAAAGATGAAAGAAATCGCTCAGGTACAGAATGCAAATGACTCGAGTACTTTTTAGTTGAAAGCATTGATGTAGGTTTAGCACCTCAGTGGTGAGGTCTTACCTATTGTGTACATGCCCTACATTCAATCCCTAGCCATGACAACCAAACAGTCTCTTCCTAAAATAGCTTTTGCCTGGTGCCTAGCCAGAAGAGGGTGTTGGATCCCCTTGAACTGGATTTACAGAAGGTTGTGTGCCATGATGTGGATGCTGGGAATCGGACCTGGGTCCTCTGGAAGAGTAGCCAGTGCTCTTAACTGCTGAGCCCTCTCTTCAGCCCCTTATATGTAGACCTGGCTGGCCTCAAACTCAGAGAGATCCACTTGCCTCTGCCTGCTGAATGTTGGAATTAAAGGTGTACACCACCACAACTGGTCGACATCATGATTATGATGATGGATACTAAGCACTACCCTGTTACTCTGGTTGGTTGGTTTGTGTGGGGTTTCCCCCCAGCTTTACTTATTTATTTTTATGTGTATGTGTGTGTATTTCTATGAATGTGTGCCACTTATGTGCAAGTACCTAGAGGCCAAAAGAAGGCATCCGATCTACTAGAACTGAAGTTACAGGTGGTTATAAGCTGTTTGATGTAGGTGCTAGGAACTGAACTCTGGTCCTCTGGAAGAGCAGCAAGTGTTCTTGACTGCTGGGGCATCTCTCCAGCCCCTATTATAACAATATCTGTGAGGCGAAAGCATTTCTATCTATCCATAAGGACTACTATATAAATTTAGGGTCCAGAGCTATAGTCTCAGAGTGCTTGTCTTTTTCTTCGTGTACTGGAGACCAAGCCCAAGGCCCGGGTAGATCTACCATTGAGCTGCATCCCCAGTGCTGTCCAGAGCTGAACTTGACTTTAGAATAAACCAGTTAGTATTCTTGGAGCCAAAGGTCATCTCATAGGGTTCAGTGGCATCTTGAGGCTTGAAAGACTCACAAATGACCCATTGTCACTTGCAGGTCATAGGGGATAGCTGCTGCTAGTCTAGTCAGGGCTCTGAACTTGGTCCTCAAGACCAGGCAGCAGGACACACTTGGATTCACAGCACACCCGACCTTTTAGTGCTAATTTCTACATGTCGAGTAGAAAGATTGGTCAGCAGATTTTTATCACTACATCCTAATTCATGGTAATTCAGCAAAACACTGAGGAATTTTTGCATGCCATTAAAACCATATTTAAATAGCACATGAGAGTGAGTTTAGGGAGAATCAGTCTCCTCCTGTTCCCTGTTAAGTAGAAAAGCTTCTTATATCCTTTCTGATTTGGGTTTTTTTTTGTTTTTTTGGTTTTTTTTTTTTTTTTTTTTTTGAGACAGGGTCTCTCTATGAGCTCTGGTTGTCTAGGAACTCACAAAGATCTGCCTCCCATTTGCTAGGATTAAATGTGTGTGCCAGGGTTGGGGATTTAGCTCAGTGGTAGAGCGCTTGCCTAGCAAGCACAAGGCCCTGGGTTCGGTCCTCAGCTCTGAAAAAAAAAAATGTGGGTGCCACCACACCTAGCAGGTTTGTTTTCTTTAGAAATGTTTTCAACCCAGTCAGGTTTGAATTGTGATCCAGTGTAGGCCGTCATGGGTAGGTTATGGAAGGGTAAAATCTGTGTAAGTGGGTACCTGGCAAGGTGGCTCAGTGGGTGAGAGCACTTGAAGGTAAGCCTGGTAATCTGTGTTTTATCCCCCAGGGCCCACGTAGTAAAAGAGAGCCAACTCCTGCACATTGTCCCCTGACCTCCCTCTCCACGTGCACTGTGACAGATGCACATGCACACATATTCACACTCTAACTAAATAAAAGTAAGCTCTGCATAATTCATTGTTTTTTTCTGAATGCAGTGCATGTTCTCAGCATAGACCGTTTTTGTCTCCCTTTAGCCCTGCATCTGGCCTGTGCAGGTCAGCATGTGGCTTGCACCAAGTTCCTCCTGCAGTCAGGACTGAAGGATTCTGAAGACCTAACAGGCACACTGGCCCAGCAACTCACAAAGAGTATAGATATCCTTCAGGACTTTGACCACACCGTGAAATCATAAGGATGTTTGAAGAAGGAGGCAATAAAGTCCATGATAATTCACATCCTGCTTTTTCAGTTACTGACAAATGAGTGAGTTGCTTCTCAGCCAGTGTTTTCGTCTCCTTCTGCTGTCCCTTCTTCATGTTCCTCTGCTGGAAGACTTGCTAGATGACCAGGACTCTGGATTCCTGGCATGTTGTACGATCTTGAACACAGCCTTTTCTTTTTTTTTTTTTTTCTTTTTTCTTTTTTAGACTGTACTGGGGATTGAAATCAGAGCCTTGCACATGCCAAGCAAGTACTGTGCCACTGAGCTACATCACCATTTTGTTTCTTCTGCCCTTCAGGTGGAGTGAGATTAAACATCATGTCCTGGGTACCCCTAGGTTTGAAATATGTAATGTGAATGAATGTAACATAGCCTTCTTTAAATATATGAAAATGTAATAAAACTAAAAATGTAAATTGCTGTTTACTCAAGCTGTAAAACATAATTGGCCATTTTATTCTTTTCCTTCCTAGCTTTTATGTGGCCATTTGGTTTCATTGTTTGGCCATTTGTGATGGTATGCATGCTTTATCCACTTATAACAACATTTACAGGGAATTGATGGACACCTTTTGGTATTCTCATTACTGCTAGTTGAGCTAAGGTTGTTTTTGTTTTGTTTTGTTTTAATGCTTGTGGATATTTGGCCTGCATGTATGTCTTTTTGCCACATGCATGCCAGATGCCTTTCGCAGCCAAAGAGGCTGTCAGATCGCTGGGGCTGGAGTTACAGATAGTTGTGAGCCTCTGTGTGGGTGCTGGGAATCAAACCTCAGGTCCTCTGGAAGAACAGCCAGTACTCTCTTTGATAAGGTTTTTGAACCCCAATAAGCCTCTCCACAGACACAGCAATCCAAATCAAACCAAATCAGACTGAATTAGAAAAAGCCCTGGTTTAATGGGTAAAGCGTTCTGGGTGATTCTCAGCCCCCCAGCGAGGAGACAGGAATGAGAGACCAGAGAACCACTTGTCTGTTTTCTGGTATGCAGCTTATATACCCTGTGGGAGTGGTCTTGAACCTCTCTGGGGGAGGAGTTGTGTTTGGTGGGCTTTGAAGGGGCGGGTTTGGGGAAAGAGATAGGGGAGGGGAGTTGAGGTAGATCTTCCACCAGAACATTCCAGACTCTTTGGGTGTATGGATGCCAGGGTGCCAGGGGTTGAGGTAGAGCTCCCACCCAAACACTCTTAACCACTGAGCTGAGCCATCTCTCTGGCCCCAGCTAAAAGATTTTAACCTTCAAGGGTTTTTGTTTGTTTTAATAGACAAGTTCAGTTATGAGCAAGATTTAATCCTCATTAGTTTAGTGTAATCCAGCAGGTACTATTACACACCTGCCTCACTCCAGTATTGTGCTTGCCTTAACAAATAGCAAAGACTTCAAGTTCCTCTTAATTATTCTCCTACAAAGTTCACAAATCCCTGTTCAAACCACCAAATAAATGTTCCTGTAGAAACACAATCTTCTCTTGTAATCTCTCCATCATACACTGTACACCTATGCTTATCTGAGGTGGGATTACCATGCTGTCTTGTGTCAAAGATCTCTTTGTTTCAATACCTTTTGGGTCTGAAGATGATCCTGGTGTGTAATATTCTATGTATGTATGTATGTTGGGGGCAAAAGGTCAACCTTAGCACACCCACAAAGCATTCTATTCATTCTCATTCATTTGCTCTCTCCCCTCTCCTTCCTCCCCAACAAAAGCCTCTCTGTACCTGAAGCTAGCCTCCTCAGATTTGTAATTTTTTTAAGCTCTGAGTGCAGAGATTTGAACATGAGCTGTAATGCCTGGTATCTCTCTTTTGTTTGCTACTCTGAACACATAATTAACTCCCGTGTGTCACGTTGCTTCTGCCCTTCCTAGTCCTATATTCCATAAACCCTGACTACTGTAGGCCACTGCTAAAATTACTCAAGAGCCAGAGATGACAGTGATTATCACAACATTAATTGTAGCAAAGAAAGTAGTAATAATATGCAACAACAATGCACTTTCACTATAATACTATATTATAGTATATTATATATAATATATATTATAGTATATTATACTATACTAAATGGCTAATAGCAATGCAAATGATAATAATTATTCCCTCCTAATTATAGTTACTTTCTTTATTTCCTTTGGGTCTCTCCCTGAGAGTTACTTTCTCAGGCTTCCCTACCTAAAATTTTATTTCTTTCTTCAGCATTTGATACTTCCTTCTTTGTGATGGTTAGCTTAATTGTCAACTTAGGTGTTAACACAACCTAGAGTCACCTTTAAAGGAAGTCTTAGTGATTGATTGCTTTCATTGGGTTTGCAGTGGATATGTCTATGAGGGATTGTCTTAAAATTAATTGATATGGAAAACCCAGCCCACTGTGGGCAGCACCATTCCCTTGGGGTGGGGGAGGGCGTCCTGAACTGTGTGAGAGGGGAGAATTGAGCTGAGCATAAACAAGCAGGCAAGTGGGCATGATGTGTTCATGTCTCTCTCCTTTTAATTCTGGATGTGAGGGAATAGCTGAAGTTCCTACCTTGACTACTGTACAGTTATGGACTGACTGTAACTGGAATTTGTAAGCTGATATAAATCTTTCTCCTCAGAGTTGCTTTTTGTCAGGGTATTTAATCATAGCAACAAAATAGAACTAGAAAAAAACCCCTGCCTTGTGGTTTCTTCTTAGTATTTACTGCTAGCAAATACATCATATAGTTTGAGTAACTTTTTTGTTTGTTTGTTTTTGTTTTTGTTTTTCAAGATAGGGTTTCTCTGTGTAGTTTTGCGCCTTTCCTGGAACTTACTTTGTAGACCAGGCTGGCCTCAAACTCACAGAGATCCGCCTGCCTCTGCCTCCCGAGTGCTGGGATTAAAGGTGTGCACCACCACCGCCCGGCTGAGTAACTTTTTAAATTGTCTCTGTCCTCCATTGATACTTGACCAGCTTGGGTCAGGACTGGGGCCCAGAGCAGTTCTGGTGCAGAGTAAGTTTACTATAGTTCGTTAGTGAATACATGATAGTAGTAATTTGTGCTTATTGGGTGCCTAATGTATGCTCGCTGCTGTGCTAAACACCTCGCCTCTGTTGGCTTATTTTGTTCTCTGACTTTCAAACTTATGGATAGTTATTACTCTGTCTCAAGCAGCCTTTCTCACACACACTCACTTGAAGAGTCAACATTTGGAGCCTCAAGTCACGGGCACCATCTTGCTGCCCCAAACTCCAGCTTTATTGCTGCTCCTCTGTGCAGTCTACCCTCTGTGAAGTTATCAGGGATTGCCAGGTTAAGTAATTCTTTTTTTGTTAAAGACAGGGCTCACTATGTATCCCTCACTGTCCTGGAACTCACTATGTAGACCAGGTTAGCCTCGAACTCACAGACCCACAGTAACGGTGGGTGGCATCATTCCTTAGGTGGAAGTCTTGGACTGAATGAAAAGGAGAAAGGGAGAAATGGACTGAGCAGCAGCATCCATCCATCTCTCTCTTCCTGACGGAGGATGAAGTGTGACTAATTGCCTCCAGTTCCTACTGCCATGCTTTTCCTGTCACGGTCAATACCCTCGGACTGAAAGCCTAAATAACCTTTCCCTCCTTAAGTTGACTCCACCAGGCATTTTGTTGCAACAAGAAAAGTAACTAATACACTGATGACACAAGGTTTTATTACAGAGCTGAGGCTATGCTGTGTAGCCCAGGCTGGCCTCAAATTTGTGATCCTCCTGCTTCACCCTCTTGAATGCTGGGATTACAGGTCAGAGCCACTTTGCCTCGCTGACTAGGGCTTCTGACCCTTCCCATAAGACCTGCTTCCACAAGGTCTGTCTGTTGGTCCGGAGAGCAAACTCTTCATGTTAGGTAAATCTTAATTAAGCTCAACCAGGACAGAGTTATCAGGGAGAGAAATGGATAAAAACTGCAATCACTTCAAAACAGCTAGATCTAATATGTGATCTAATATATGATCCCGTACAAAAGGAATTCTGCTGTGGGATGTTCTGTATGGCAAATGTGTTGCTAATTAGTCAATAAATAAAACACTGATTGGCCATTGGCTAGGCAGGAAGTGTAGGCGGGACAAGGAGGAGAACAAAGCTGGGAAGTGGAAGGCTGAGTCAGAGAGACACTGCCAGCCGCCATGATGACAAAGAGCATGTGAAGATGCTGGTAAACCACGAGCCATGTAGCAAGGTATAGATTTACGGAAATGGATTAATTTAAGCTGTAAGAACAGTTAGCAAGAAGCCTGCCAAGGCCATACAGTTTGTAAGCAATATAAGTCTCTGTGTTTACTTGGTCAGGTTTGAGCGGCTGTGGGACTGGCAGGTGAGAGAGATTTATCCTGACTGTGGGCCAGGCAGGAAAACTCCAGCTACAGAATTCCATGAGATAATTGTTACAAAACAAAATGAGAATGGACCTTGACATGGGAAAGGTATAGAACTCTGGCTTAAGAAATGAGGGAAACTTGCACAGAGAGAGGCCAGGAGCAGAAGGAAGGGAGCAGATGCTGCATTTAATTTACCCTGGACTGTTGCCGTTCACCAGCAGGTGGCAGGCCAGAAAAATGTCTTACTCCCACAGACCTTAAGACTCAAGACTTTAAAACACAGAAAATGCTAAAGGAGGAAGCCAGAATCATCAGTAATTCCACTGCTCAGTTATAACCACTCTTTTCTTAAATACTTATTTTGTTTATTATTATTGTGTGTAGGAAGTGTGCCTCCAGGCACACACGAATGGAAGTCAGAGAACAACTTTGAGGAACCTCGCTTTCTCCTTCAGTAGCAGGATGCAGGGATCTGACTCAGTTCATCAGGCTTGCAGGGTGTGGACTTTGCTTTCCTGTTGCTGTGAGAAATACCATGACCAGAACAACATGGAAAGGAAAGGATTTATTTCACTTTACACTTTACATCTCTCCCTCTTTTTTTTTTCTAATTTATTTATTTTTATTTGCATTGGTGTTTTGCTGCATGTATGACTGTGTAAGGTTGTCAGATCTTGAGTTACAGACAGTTGTGAGCTGCCATGTGGGTGCTGGGACTTGAACCCAGGTCCTCTGGAAGAGCAGTCAGTGCTCTTTAACCACTGAGCCATCTCTCCAGCCCCACATCTTTCCCTCTTTGAGGGAAACTAAAGCCAGAGCTCAAGGCAGGAGCTTGGTGCAGAAACCATGGCAGCTGACTGCTTGCTCCAAGGTGCACATTTAGCCACAACCTGGGTCTACCTGCCTCAGGATGGCATCACCCACCGTGGGCTGGACCCTCCTACATCAATTAGTAATCAATTAGTGATCCATAGCATGCTCCCACAGATATGGTCACAGGACTCTCTGATCTGGCCAGTTCTTTAGTTGAGGTCCCTTTTTCCCCTAGGTTTGTATCAAGTTGACAGCTGAAGCTAACTATCACACTCCAAGAGCCTCTGCTTGCTGAGGCATCTCACAGGCACAGTAACTCACTCTTATTCTTCTCTTTCTGTCAAAATGAGTGCGGGTGAGACAAGGCAGTACGTGCATTTTGCCCTTAACTTTATACTAAGAATTTTATGTGATCTGCTTTTAAATATGTCATCTTGGTATTGTCTATATTAGTTATTTCATATAAACTTCATTTGTTCTTGCTGTATTGAGGGTCATACCCAGGGCCTGGACATACTAGACAACCACTCTATCACTGAGATACTTCTTGGGTATGATAAAGACAGGGTAATCAGTAAATTTGTCAGATTCCACTGCAGAAACGAGGTGCAGACTAGAAAAAGTGTTAGATTTGATCACCTGCAGGGGAGAAGCTGGCCGAATGGCTGAGGAACAGTGAAGCCACAGAGGGCTCCAGCAAACCTGTGCTTCTTTGCATATGGTGAGTGATAGGGGGAGAAAAATGGGCTGGAGAGTGACTCAGTGGTTAAAAACACTGGATGCTGTTCCAGAGGACCCTAGTTCGATTCCAAGCACCCACATGGTTCACAACCATCTGTAGCTCCAGTTCTAGGAGGTCTGATTCCCTCTTCTGGCCTCTGCTGGCACCAGGCACACATGTGGTGCACAGACATATGTGCAGGCACAGCATTCATACACATAACATTTTTTCAATTAAAAATTAAAAAAAAAAAATTGAGCTAGGGATGTAGGTTATTGTTAGAGTATTTGTCTATCCCGCGTAATGTCCTGGGTTTGATCTTCAACAAGCTGCAAATAAATAATGAAATGGTTGAATTAGACACAAAACAGAATTTTTTTTTTTTTTTTTTTTTTTTTTTTTGAGAAGAGCACAGCATGTCTACAAACAAGAAGACACAAACAATGAGAAGGTTAAGCTGATGGGAGCAAGGACCTTCAGCGAGTCAGGAGAAACAGGGTCAGTGAACTTAGGAAGGCTCAGCTTGAAACATGGAAGGAGTACTTTCTGCTTAGAGGAGGCATTGAAAAAGAAAGGAAGGTGCCGGGCAGTGGTGGCGCACACCTT